CTCCGAGGAGCGGCCTCATTTCACCCTCTCTAAGATGAACCTGTTTGTTCTCCTAACAGTCCATGATATATTTAATATTCTTCTCCAGTACCACAGCTCAAAGAAATCAATTTTCCTTCCATCATCCCTAGTCATTGTCCAGCTCTCTGATGCACAGCAAGTAATTGAAGACTGTGGCTTGGATCAGGTGCACCTGAGTCTCCAGACTGACATCGTTACTCTTCAGTATTCTAGAGAGGTCCCTGGCAGCAGACTTTCATAATGAAATTTGTCTTTTGATTTCCTGGCTGCTTGTACCAAAAGTTCAGCAAACTGAAGCTGTTAACAATCTCAATCTCTTTACCATCTATCATGATGTTGTCCATCGACCCAGTGGTGAGAATCTTTGCTTTCTTGATGTTGAGCTTCAATCCATATTGAGAGCTGCAGTCCTTGACCTTCTGCAGCAAGCACTTCAGGTCTTCCTCAGTTTCTGCGAAGCTGTGTCATCTGCATAACGCAGGTTGTTGATGAATCTTCCTCCAAACCTAATGCCACATTCTGCTTCATAGAACCTAGCCTCCCAAATAATCTATCCTATATATAGATTGAAAAGGTATGGAGATAGGACACACTTCTGGCATTTCCAATTTTGAACCATGTGCTGTTTCCTTGCTCTGTTCTGATGAATGTCTCATGGTCTAATTATAGGTTTCACAGAAGTACAATCAAATGTTCTAGGATTCCCACTCTGTCACAATTAGGAAATATAAAATAATACTAAGGTTCTCTGGTGACACAGTCTGTAGAGAGTTACAGCTTTGTAAACCAAGCCAGTGAAAGATCAGGTATAACTCAGATCCAACTTGATGGTAATGAGCTTAGTTTAAATATATACAAAAAAATAATTTTGAAGGCTCTTTCAGAGTTGGATTAGGAATAAATCCTTTGGCTTGAAATATTGAGCTGAGAAAGAGGGGAAGGTATGAAGGAGAACAAAGATCTGACAATAGGACTAAGAAGAAAACTTTCTCTTCTGTTTTTGATCTTTTGTACTGACTTTTCTGGGATCATATTAACTTTTATTCCCACAACAGGCTAATTAGATAACCAAAAGAGCGTTCTCTCTCACATGTGCTCTCTCTCTCTCAAGATTTAATATGTGAGCTTATTTATTTGCCACACATAGAAAATTCTATTTCTGACCAGATTCAGATTTGGAGGTAGAAGCTCTCAGAGAGGACAGCTTCCTTCTCTTGGTGATCTGCTCCTGGAGTTTTTCTTTGGCCTCTTTCATTCTCTTGCCCAAAACCTTAGTGTATTCTGCAGTTTCCTTTTTATTGTTCATAGTGCACTTCAGAGAAATGTGCCAGTGCTTGTGTTTGTGCTGCAGAACACGTGGAGTAAAAAGACACTGAATCTTGGGTGCTTCGGTCCTGAGTTTCCTGCCTTCTTTGTTCAGTGGCTTTCTCACAATGTAGTGATCATTTTCCTTGGAGTGATTGAAGAGTTTACAACTTCTGATGGCTCTTTTGGGACCAGGCAATGAGGCACCATAGTATCAGACAGTCCTGGGATGTCCTTCTCTTCTTTCTTGACAATAACCAAGTTAAGGACACTCAGATTGGCATCCACAATGAAACCTGGACAGATTTGGGCTTCCTCTCTCCAGTTCTCCATGGTCTGTAACAAGCGTGTTCATTACTTAGCAGCAGGCGAACTCAACCATGGGTCAAAACACTCTGCTTCATGGGAAAACCTTGCTTGTTGTTTCCACCACTGATCTGGACAACATATCCCTTCCACTCATCACCAAGAGTCAGCAGCAACTTCTGTAGCCATTCGCTTCTCATAAAATGTATGAAGTTTTCATTCATTGTACACTTCAATGCGTTTTTGGCAGCCAGTGGCTGAGAAGGAGATGTTCAGCTTCATGGAGAAACAGCCAGTTGCCCAAGTAGCATCACAAAAGAGATTCAGAGACCATTCACATGCATCTTTTCCTTCTACCAACTTGACCTCTGTCTAGCTTGACAATCTATGGGGATCTATTTGGTTATCTTCCTTGTTTAACATTTGTTGTTATTGTTGTGTGCCATCAAGTTGGAACTGACCCATAGCTGTCCCTCCAGCCCATTGTCAAAGACAGTAAATCACATGGGAGAAAATTGCCCATCCATATCCTGTGGATCAGCTTGTGGCTTTGAACCGTGTGCTTTTTGGATTGCAGCACAGCTTCTTACCACTAGGCCATCAGAACTCTGAGGTTGCAGGATACATAAATAATTTCTTTCCTTTCACAATCCTGATGTATAAAACACATTGGCATTCAAAGTACAGTCTGTAGATCAGCAGCAACTAGGAGTTTATTAGAAATACAGAACCACAGGCCTTGTTCCCCAATTAAGGAATCATAATCTGGACTTTAACAAGATCTCTATGGCATACTTAGACACACTGACAATAGAATATCATGTATCTAACATATATTGCTTGTATTCCGATGCTGCTTTTGTGTTGGGTGCTACTGATTCCAACTTACGATGTTCCCAAGTGACAAAGTAGTCCTGCCCCATTAGATTTTCTTGGTTATAATCCTTGCAGAATCGTTAGGTCTTTCTGTCATCAAAGCAAATGATGATTTCAAGATGTTAACCTGTAGCATCTGAGGGCTTAATCTGCATTCTCCTCAGCCATTATATACTCTAGGGATGCCAGTGATTTCCTGAAATGAGTTTAATCAGGTTCTTCCTTAATTAATCCATTATTACATTTAAATTTCACAACAAAACCTTCATAATCTTCAACATTATCTTAATCTTAAAATTGGATAAAAGAGCAGATTAAGTAACATATCCAGTAGAGTGAGGACATTCTTCCTCTGATCTCCAAGACTCTTTTCTGTTCCTGCACCATACTACTGTTATCAACCATTAAGTCAAAACTGACTCAGCTGACCCTCCAGCAGGTTTTAAGAATCAGTAAATCACATGGGAGGAGATTATCCATCTTTCTCCATTGGAGCAGCTGGTGACTCAAACTGTATGCTTTTGAGTTGGCAGTACAGCTCCTTACCACTGAGCCATCAGGACTTATCCACCAGGGAGTTCTGATGGCTTAGTGATAAGGAATTGTTTGACTCTACCAGCTGCTCTAGAAGAAAAAGGCAACCTCCTCCCATGCAATTTACTGCCTCTGAAAACCCACTGAAGGATCAGCTATGGGTCAGATCCAATTTGATGGTATCAAAACAACCCAATATTGCTTTTTTTCTAACTTCATCATGAGTAGTTGTTTATGCATTAAAAAAACAGTCTACTGAAAAAGAAAGGTTGTAAAAGAAAGCTTCCTGGAAGTATTTAGTATTTGAAAGATAGACTCACTGATGCACAACAACAAAAGAAAGAGGTCTTTGGTCATTCAAAGATGATTTAAAATTGTGTTTCACATTTCCCTGGTGATAATGTCAAGTTGAGAAAGTGAAGGATCATTGGTCCTTGGCTAGAGTGTATCCCCTGGAAGTGCGAGGACTGCATCTTGTCACACATACACTCATCCTGCCCATCAGCTGACTCGAATCTGAGGCAGGCCCCATCTGTCCAAGCCTGCATTGAACCAGGTGCTAAGAGCAGTGCTGATCGTGTTTTGTTGAGGCTGTCCATATGCCTCCATACAAACTGTAGTTCAAGAGCTGTAAAACTATTTTCATTTTCAATCTAACAGATTGCTTTGAATAAAACTTGTGCCAAAAGGGCTATGTGAACGCTTTATATTTGCCAAAAGAGTGTAAACACGGATCGCCAGCAACTAAACTATTAATAATTACTGTATTTTCAGCATAGCTGTATTTTTTCAGTGATAAATACAAGTGAAGAAAATTCATACATATAAGATGACCCTGGTCACCCCAAGTTCTTGGAAAACCCCATTCAGCTGCAAAAATGGACAAAAGGGAAAAAAGATAAAGGGGGAAAAGCAACTGACATCTTTGGGTTGGGGAAAGAAAAAAGAGGGAAAATCTGTGATTGGATGGTGGACACATGGTGGGAATTGATAAAGATTATTTTTAAAATGTGTTATTTGAATAAAACAAATATGATATATATGGCATCATCTGAAAAGAAGAACAATGTGAGACAGAGTTTTCAGCTGGGTGGGGGCCAGGGAGCGCTAATGTTTTCTGTTGACATCAAGGATGTTTTGAGCCTTAATAGAAACTCTGCTCATCCTCAAGGGAATATGTGAGTTTGTGGAAGATCGCCCCACTGAGGCCCCTTTTCTCTGCGCTCTCTGGCCCGGTTCTCTCAAAAGCAGTGACCTTGAGAGCCTCTAGTCTAGGAACCTTTAAAGCTGGATGAGCTGCAGGGAGCGCGCCAACCTCAGCACACCACTCGCCAGCTCTAGGGCCCCTCCATCATTCCCTGTAGCTCAGAGGACCTGGCAAGGGGGGCGCGAGACGAGCCAGGGATTCTCTTAGCAGCCCCACCCATTTGTTCAGAGCAACCCAACTTTAAGAACTCAGTCAGTCTCTAGAGTAAAGCCCTTTGAGATTTTTTTTTTTTTCACCCAAAGGGCAAACCGATCTTAAATGTCAGTCAGCATCCACTAGGCAAGAGACAGCAGGTAATTAGAAGCAATTAGCCTTCTTCCTGCCGGGAAGCAGGACAATTACCTTTTCCACTCTTCTCCCTTCCTCTTCCATTTTTCCTTCCCTCGTAGAAGCAGCAGAAGTGCTTTACTCCCTGAGCAGCGATGTGAGCTGAGCTGGCATGGGGCTGAGGGATGAACCGCGGGACGCGGTCTCCTCCTCCTGCAGCCGCGGCGGCCGCCGGCGCAGCAGTGCATTGTGGAGACAGCGCGCCGCGGAAGCTGCAGCCTGAGCGCGCGGAGCTGTCCGCGGTGCTGACCGGCGGCCCCGCGCCGCGCCCTGCACGCCCACTCGGCTGGACCTCTCCGCCTCCTGGCCTCCCTTCCACCCTCCATCCTTTGTCAACCTAGGGGCGTAGCAGTTGGAGGAAACCATGGTGTTCGCTCCAGGTACACTCGCACCTTGCTTTTCCACCAGGTACCCAGGAGGGGAGCGGGGAAGAGAAGAGAGGACAGGAGAAAAGGCCCCTTTGCAGGATGGGGAGTTAACTGAGCGCGGATGTACAAGGTGTCCTGGCGAGCTGCCTTCACCCCTTGCTCCAGTCCCGCCCCATCTGTCCTCTAACAACCTCCAACCATTGTCCGGCTCTTCTCTTGTCGCACAGCTTTTCCAGGCACTCCATCCGAGCCCAGCACCTTGAGAACTGGACCTTTGCCAGAAACTTGGGCACCTACATGGGCTGGGTGGTAGAGAAGTGGAACAAAGAGTAGTGGGCTTCAGCTGACTTCTCCTTCATTGACTCTGTAGAAGTGGAAAGTGACCAGGCTCCTCACTACTTCTTTAGAGAAAAGAGCAAAGCCACAGGGAGGGCGCCAAGGGCAGAGGAGTGAGTGATAGATATGCCTTAAAGAATTAGACCTGAAACTGCTGGAGGCTGCAATACAGAGGCAGTGGCTGCAGCACCGCTGGCAGTAGTAACATATCTGGGGAGCTGGTGGCAAAGGACATGGGTCTCCTTGTTGCTAGCCATGGCTACAAGTTGACATGGAGTCAGTTGGAATGGTGTTAACCAGCTTGTCTGTTTGTACACGTGCACCTTTGAGTGTGCCCTAGAGAAGCAAGGACTTGGGAGTGTATATCAAGTGAGGTCAGGTGAACTTAAGAAGAAGCCAGAGAAACGTGGTCACTGCTAATGTAGGGTGTTGTCTCCAGGAATACATATAAAGTATTCCTCCCTCCCCCTTTATTATAAGCTTTGTTTTCTTTAAGGATAGCTGTTGAAAAACAGTGGAGACGTTTAGAACTCTAAAACTTTCTGTAGATCTTTAACTTGAAAGATTGATTTGTGTTTGCTGGGGTCATGGGCCTCAAATAGCTGGGGAAGAAAAGTCTTTTACTTTTTAAATAGAAGAGTTGAGAAAGGTGTTTTATTTTTTAAAGGGAAGAATTGAGTTTAAAAACTTCAGTCAATGGAACTTGAGAGGAGGCAGTCTCTTCCTCTGATGGGTGCTTATTGGGAATACAAGAAGGAGTTGTGCCGATGGTTCTGAAGTTGCTATAGGTAGTAGGGACTCTCAGAGGAATATAATTTTGGCCCAAGTGCACTTCTGCACTCCATCCCAAAGAACCAGGTGGGGAATTTATTCTAGACAGTGAAGGAAATTCATTAATCCAAGTACCAGAGCAGGTGGGAAACAATAGCTCTTCCTTGCACTTACAAACTATTTACTTTAGATAGCATTTTCATGCCAGTTACCTCATTTAATCTGCAAACTGCTTTGTGAGATGAGGAATGCCGTCCTTATTTTACTAACCACAGGGCAGTTAATTTTATGTAGCCTTGCCAACCTCAGCTTGAGTTTTCTGACCTCATACTTCTGTCTTTCTCTCCTATGCTTCTGAGTCTTCCTTCCTGGGGAAAATATTTCCCCAGTTTGAGCATTAGTTTCTTTATGATCTAAGGCTAATGGTAGTCAGAGGAACAGTATGTCTTTCCATTCCAAGTTGAGAGATGGGAGGTGTTGACCAGAGTTTGGGTTGTTGGATGATACTGACTAGGCATTTCCTAAAAGCATCATCTTCAGTGAAGGATTGTATAATGAGCAGTTGGGAATTTCCAGAGCTGACTGTGTTAATAAGCTCACAATTTGGATAGGACTTTTCTATTTTATTGCCAAGTTTTGTATTAATTTTGGGGGTGTTTTTGTTTGTTTGTTTGCTGAGTTTTCTTTTTTTTACCTGAGAGTAAAGAAGAAATAATTCATAACTGTCACTGGTCACTGATAGCATAAATTGACCTGGATGGGATAGGTGCAAAAGCCTGTGGGGAAACATTTTTATAATTGTTTCTTTGATTTTTTGGTTAGCAGCATAATACTGTACAGACTATGCCTCCAGAGCTCTTTATATCTTTAAATTTTTGAGCCTGTTTGAGAAAGAAATAAACAATTTTGAAGTATAAGAATAGAATGCTAAAATGTTAATGCCAATTTGCTTTCTTGCCTGTACTTTATACATCTTCTAATAATATAATGATTTGTTATGAAAGAAAACCATAGCAATGAATTTCTTTGAACTGCTGGATTTTCATCATTACAACCTTGTTTCTTGGACTATTCTTCTAAATCTCTATAATCTGAGGATCCAGATGTTTTGTACTAGCTAAAGGACATACTCCCTATCTCTATACTCCAAACTATCATAACTTTTAGGAAGAAAGAGAATGAAGTCATGTACAAAGAAAAAGTAATAAAAAGAGTATTAGATAATCTGTGATGTACATGACAATGAAGGAACAAGTTTTTTATAAAATTGGGTCAGTGGGTATTATGCTCTTCAAAATGCATTGTAGTTATCCGGATTTTAGCAAGTGTCCTGAGGGTTATACTCATGCCTCTGATGAGTGAGCTGCATGTGCCTATTTGTTTACCTTAACAACAAAAGTGATATTTTACAGAAAGTCATAAAGCATGTTTCAGTCCAGATGCACAATAAAATAGGGAAAATAATGAAGTAGGGTTCACTTTTATCCTATTGTTGTTAGATGCTATCAAGTCAAGTACAACTCATAGTGACTCTATGAGCAACATATCTGAACCCTGTCCTATCCTGTGTCATCATCATCATCTCTGACATACTGAGCTCATTGCGACAGTCATTGTGTGAATCCATTTTTTTTTTGCAGGTCTTCCTCTCTGTTGCTGATACTTCACCTTTCCAAGCATGATGTCCCTCTCTGAGGAATAGCCTCTCTTAGCAACATGCCCAAAGTATGTTAGACAAAGTTTTGTTTTTTTTAAAAAATTTTATTATTTTTATGTGAGTGTACCGTCAAATCAGATCTGACTGGTACAGGAGGAGACTGCTCCTCCTTCCCCGGCAGAGCTAGATAAAGTTTTTTATCCTTGCCTCCAAGGAGCATTTTGGCTGTACTTTCTCCAAGACATAGCTATTTGTTCTTTTGGCAGTTCATGAGATATTCAGTACTCTTCTCCGACATCACAGCTGAAAGGCACATTTAGTATAAAATATCTTTGCATTTTCTTGACTCAGTTCTTTACAAATTGCAAGAATTATTAGGGATTAAAATGAGCAGATTCTGTAGGTGGTTTACATGTTTATATACAGATAATTTAATTCCATAACTTTTCCTTTTCTTGTGATGTTAACAGACTTTGTATCATTTAGAAGGGTTTTTAGCCAGCAGCCAGAAAATCATAAGACAAATTACATTGGGAAAGTATGCTGTCAGGGACCTTTCCAGATAATTGAAGAGAAACAGTGTCAGTCTAGAGACTAAGGTGCGCCTGATCCAGGCCATGCTTTTCGCAATTCATTGCTTTGCAACAGAAAGCTGGACAATGACTAGGGATGATAGAAGGAGAATTGATGCTTTTGAACTGTGGTGCTGGAGAGGAGTATTGAATATAACATGACTGCTAGGAGAACAAACAAGTTTGTCCTAGAGAGGGTGAAACCAGAGTGCTCTTTGAAGCAAGGATTCTGAAGCTTCATCTGACATATTCTGGGCATGTTGCAAGGAGGGACCAATCCTTAGAGAGGTCCATCATGCTTGGGAGGGAGGAGGACAGTGAAAGAGTGGAAGATCCTTGATGAGATAGTTTGACTCAGTGACTGGGGTAATGAAGGTAGATGTGTCAGAGTCAATAAGGTTGACTCAGGATAGAGCAAAGTTTAGAGCTGTTGTTCAAGGGTCACTGTGAGTCACAAGAGACTCAATGGCACACAACAACAACTACATATTAAGTTTTAAATACTTTATACCTAGAGTGGCCACACTACTGATTATTTAATATTTTAAATGCCTGAAGCCTATCCTTCAATTCTTCTTCCTTTCATAGGAGCTGTGCAAAATGTGTAACAGTTAGATGAGGAACAAAGTATAGATCTAAAAAATTTCCGTAAATAATCATAACACTAAATACAGTTTAAACTAAGCTAAGATGTTGATGTTTGTTGTTCTGTATGGTCCAGTTGGAACTGACTCATAGCTGACCCTCTGGTGGGTTTTCAGAGGCAATTAATCGTATAAGAGCAGATTGACCATCCTCCCACAGGTGCAGCCAGTGGACTGGAACTGTGTGGCTTCCAGATTGCATTACATCTAGAGCTCAACAAGAGGACTTTGCTTCCTTTTCCTTGATCTCTTATGTATTCCCCTCCTTTCACCCCCCTAAATTGAAGATGGTATCTTTCTAGATCAATGGGAAGAGTTTGAAAGATAGCATGAACAAAACTGATCCCGGTAAAGAAATCTATTGTTCCAATCAAAAGTTTCTATTTGGAGAAAAAAAAAATAGTCCTAGGTCGTGGTATCCCATTGATTTTGTGGAAGTAATTCTTATCAATTTGTAGACAAAGTCAAAGTAGAAGTAGGAGGACAGGCCATTGAGCAAGAGCATTGGAAATTAAAACAGAAGACAAGAAAAGACTCAGGCTAGGCTGTATCTTGGCTCATACAAGCACTAGTTGATATTTATTTTTAATGTTGTAGTTGCACCCAAAGAATTGCAGACTCTGCATCTGAAGAGGGCAGATTAGCTATTTCTCCTCCCAATAGTATGGAGACAGATTTTTGTTCCATTTTATAAAACTAAACATACCCAATTTACATATCTTGTAGAGAAATCAGAAGCTTCCATCTGAGAGGGGGGGAAATAATTATTAGTACTTGTAACTACTTATATCTAAACAAATACCCTTGCTACAAGAAGCTAGGAAATTAACAGAAACCAAATTGCATTGAGGAAACCTGCTGTTAGGGACCTTTCCAGAGTGCTAAAGAGCAAAAGTATCAGTCTAGAGGTGCACCTGATGCAGGCCATGGTCTTTACAATTACGTGCTATGCATCAAAAGGCTGGACAATGAATAAAGAGGATAGAAGAATTTATACTTTTGAGTTGTGATGCTGGAAAAGAGTATTGAGCA